ATGGTAATCCAGGTGTGATCTGACAAGCTCTGAATAGAGTGGGATAATGACTTCTTTCTCTCTGCTGGTGATGCCCTTGTTGATGCAACCCAGCATCCTGCTGGCTTGCTTTGCCGCAGCAGCACACTGTTCTCTCGTATTGAGCTTCTTGTCACTTTGCTTCTTGTTAGTCAAATAAGTGAAGTGAATGTTACTAGGAAAAGAATATCAATGACATAAATTGGAAACGTTTAATATGTGTACTGTTTAGATAATGAGTTCTACAGGAGGCAAATGGGATAAATGGAGTTCATACTGCAGAGAATTGCCAAATGTGCTTTGTCAGTAGGAGTGTATGACCATCAAGGGACATTTCAAATAAAAGATACCAGTTTTGTTTGTAGTAACTGAGGTAGCAATCATTCCTTGAACTCGTTGCTTCATATATAAAATGCAAAAATTACCATATTCGGTGTAAAACCGGACAGCAATTTCAATGACAAGACTGTTCTTCTTAGCAGAAATGTCTTTAATAAAAGGGCACAGAAATTTTCTGTTGCTGCAAGCAAGTGATTTAATCAGATACCAAAGCAAAGGGCAGAATTATGGCACTTCCTTAGGATTATGGTAATGATAAGGACAAATGAGCACCAAAGCTAAATGAATGACACTCATTACATTATGTAATGTAATTACATCAATAACACTGTACATAGATGGTAAAGTGATGCTGATATGGTTGAAAATCATATACATACTTGGGTCAAAAAGCAAAATGCATGCTATCAAGTGGTATAAACTTGTCTGACAAAGTATTTAAGTATTGTTTTCTTACAGTGAAGCTACAGGAAAGCTTCATAAAGGTTTTGCACCTTTTTTCCTCTGAACTCATCTCTCTTATGCCCTCATAAATCTTGACCTGATGGACTTTTAATAATGATAGCTTATATCTGAGTTTTGAACACCTATCTATGAGCAGGTGATAAGACTTTCTTATTCTCGGGGACAATGAAGAGGCAAGTCCAAGACAGGATGGTAAGCTCAGCTGTTAAGACAGTTAACGGCAGAGGAAAGACATGAAACGTAGACTAGCAGCAAATATCAGCACAGGGAGTTCAATCATAGTCCAGTGCAAAAGTGCTGCCTATCCTTACTCCTTTTATTTGCACCTCTCCTTTATTTCCCCTTACTTAGCCATCTTTGCCAGCTCAGGTGCAGTGCAGATAGCACCTAGCCATGGGATGGTAAGACCAGTGGGGCATACGTCAAACTGATACTTGCTTTCTCAGCATGGCAGCCACTCATCCTAGCCTTCTGCACCAACCAGATGTTGCAGCTTACGGTCTCTCATGCTAATTCACCTCTGTGGTGGGTTGTTCTGATACATCTGGGAGCACTGTCTTTATTTCTGCTGAACAACACAAGGTTCTGACCCAGGTGAGTTAGGGATCCCATGGCAGGACAGAAGGATCAGGTGGGATCCAAAGTGATATCTGTGAGGTGCTCGTTTCTTTGGCTAGGTTGAAATAATTACAGTCTCTACGTTAAGAGTCTCCTGTACCCACTGTATTCATCTATCTGATCACCAAGCCTCAATTTTGTCCTTCCCCACCCTCCTCCCCTGCAGCCGATAAACACTATAGCCATTTAGTAACCTATAAGATATGATATGAGCATATATTCATGTTATTTTACATTTCAGTTACTCCATTGTCACTTTTACTGATATTCTGAAAAGGTGAGCAGGTGTCTGTGTCCAAGGTGATTCTGCAAGTTTGCTTTCTATATTTTTGTTTGTCCTCATTTTCAAGGTCTTTCAGGGTTATAATTTTCTTTTTAAAGCTAATGTCTCATTCCATGTTGAAATTTCAGTTTCTGACCCTTACAAAGTTTTTATACCATCATGTATTGCCTATGTGGGTTCAGAACATTTTTTTGATTTTTAGAAAAGCTTCCAAGAATCCCTTCTTGATCAGTCCTCTTTGTGGGAAGAGTTCCTTATAAAATTCCGGCTGACTTGCTCTCTGCTGTCAAATCTGTCTTTGAATGATGCCTTTAGTTGGCTCAAAATGGAGCCATTTTCCACCTCACAGATCATCACAAGGTCATTGCTTCCATATAAACTTTCCTCAATGCTGTTTTACTCTATGGCTTTAATCTCTTTGAAATGAAAATAAAGTCTTTGTCCTGCATTTGCACCTCACCCAAAACGCGGACTAGGATCCCTTGTACAGTGTTGTGATAAAAAAAAAGATGGTCTCAGCAATAAGGACAGAAAATTGAACTTTGCTTTATAGTATCCATTCACCCAGATCCAGGTTAAATTGCTGGTGGCCTTGTGAATCCCTCTGCAATGTGCCAGAGGAACAATATTATCAGAAGTCTAGAGCAATGATGTTGTTTGAGAAAAGTGATCAGTTAAATGGAGTGAAAGATCAGGGTGAGGCACTACTGCAGCCACTGGCCCTGTCCCTACTCAATATTCTCCATCAGGATAGAAACTAGACAGAATCTTTCGAACATGCCAGGAAAACATAGTTCTGGGAAAAGCCATAAGTAGACCTTATTTCTGAGGCAAAAATATTATTTAGATTTAATCATATGGAAAAAATTAAAAGAAAGCTGGAAGAGAAAGCAATCGTGTGAAATTGTTTTAACTCGGAAAAAAAAAACCCACAAACTTAAAAGTTTATCATCTCCTTTCAGCTTTTATGGTGCTTGGTTCTTTACTGTGTTTCCAAATAACTACCCTCTAGTCTTGATTCCTAAAATGCAGGCGCATTAATAAATTTTAGAACAGAAGGAACACAAGGTATGTTCCAGCTTGACTATGCTATGCTATACTACTCGTGATTTTTATACTACTAACTTCAGTAGCTTTGCATCTAAAAATTATGATGAATGGTGACAAATGAACATATAGAGGGAGGGTACAGAAAAGTTGGGTTTAATTCCACTCATTAAGAGCATATTGAGCATTAAAAAGTCTTTAGGGCCAAACAGAAGGAATCCATGCCTCAGATGTCTCAAAGAGTAACTTGCCTTCAGAAAAAAATCCAAGCCATTTGACTTTTGGGAAATTAGAAGAACTGGAAGTTTTTTATCCTCTTATTCATTTAATGCACTATGTTTTTTCCTTCATCAACATTTTATCTTGAAATACATCTATGAACTCTCTCAAAGATAGGGAGCTGATCATTTTTCTACTCAATAGGAAGAGGATGCCTTCATTTTTACAAAGGTGAAGCTCTTGATTTAGCATATTAGATTTGAGCCTCAAAAAATTATATTAAATAACCCAAATTAGGTTTTCTCGTTGGAATTTAGATATCACAATGGTCATTGTCAGAAAAAACACACTTTTTGCTTCTCCTTTCATTGTTTTCAGTCTCTTGACAAAAGAAAGGAGGGAATTTTTGAAAAATTGAGAAGAAAACAAACCAGAGTAGAACTACAAAAGCAGGACTAAAGGCAGATGCTTTTCTCAGAGCCTCTGATATCTATTCTGGGCCTTATCCTTTCTCCTATGGCTGGAGAGTTATGGCCTTTTAAGAAGTATGTTACTCACAGAGAAGCAAGGTTATCCATCTCACCACTCAGCCACTAGGATTTCACATATGCTACTGTATCTTCAGTACGAATACTGCCTCCAACATGGATTAGAATGAGGCTTGAAAACTTTTCTCTTACCGAAAGAACAAGGTGGCAGAAAGTTTGAAAAACAACCACATCAAGCATAAATACAAATGGCACAGGACAACCTTCTACCCTGGACTACAGAGGGAGTAACTACTTCAACAACTATGACTAAGGAGCTGGTTAGAAACAGCTGCTGTAACATATTAATGCCCAGACAGAACATGATAGTATAAAATCATAGAATCATAGAATGGTTTGAGCTGGAAGGGACTTTAAAGATCATCTAGTTCCAATTTCCCCGCTGTGGGCAGAGACACCTTCCACTAGACCAGGTTGCTCAAAGCCTCATCCAACCTGGCCTTGAACACCTCCAGGGATGGGGCATCCACAAATTCTCTGGGCAACCTGTTCCACTGCCTCATCATCTTCCTTGTAAAAAATGTGTTCCTTATATCTCATGAAAATCTCCCCTCTTTCAGTTTAAAGCCATTGCCCCTTGTCCTATCACTACAAGTCCTTGTAAAAAGTTCCTGCAGAAGTTGTGGATTTGACTGCCTGGTGCATCTTATGACACTGCACAACTTTGGTGGTGAAATACACTGAACAATGTAGAAAGAAGAAATAAAACCCCTTTGGATAAGAAGGCAGCTATTTGAAAAGGAATCCCAGGGCAGAACTTTTGTGTTTTTCTGTACAGGGAAAAGTGCAGGCCTTAGAAGTTCAGGGGCTGATGAAGCCCACACTGAGGAAAAGGATAGAGACAACATCTAATCTGAAGGGATTAGTTCAAATGGTCAGTTAATCCCAAGAATGGTGATTTGGGCACAGTAAACAATGTGTATTGTTAATTACTCTGGGCCTAACCATAAAAACCTTACTTCATACTAGGTTCTTTGTAAAGTAATCATACAAGCTTGCAATAAAAGAGCTGAGAGAAATAGGTAGCAAATGTTATCATCACAATTTGATTTTAAATAAGAAAGATGCAGCAATTGTCCTTTGGATTCTTCCCAAATAGTTGAGTTTGATTTCTCCCCAGCCAAACTCATTAATTATACTCCTGGGTTTTATGATACTATGTAGTATTTTCCCTTCTACTGGGCTATTTTATTACCCTCTCTTCATCTTCACAGAAAATTTCTGTTTTTCACAGTGGGTGCATGATGCTTTTTTGTTTGCACATCATTCAGCTGAAGAATAAATATCTGAATAAAATTTACCACTTGACAATGAAATTCTGTAAAAAACTAAACCCACAAGTTAGAAGTTCTCAGTGGAAGATCATTTCAAGTTTGCCAGATAAATTAAATGCATGTATTAAATAAGTAAGTAACCTCTTAATAAATTTAAATAACCCCTCCTGGAAAATAGATTATTTTTATGTTCTTTATTCCACCAAAACTGCATTGCAGTTTTCCAGTCTTTATATTTACATTATTTGCAACTCTTTCCATAAGTGCCAGTACAAATGTAACTGATGAAAATCCAGAACAGTCATACAAATGTTCCTGAAAGCAAGGTGCATTTCTGAGCATTTTTTTTCTGATGCGCAATAACATATATGTATATATTAACAAAGCTTCATAATATAAAATATCTTCCATGGCAAGTAAAACTTCCTCACTTACAGCTTATTCAGATTTCAGTTACATAGACTTCTGCATTTCAAGTTAGTGCAAATAATGAAAGTAAGAGCCTGAGCAGAATGATGTAAATACAATGGAACAAGAGAAACAGCAAAATTTTACCAACTCCCTGCATACAGTTATAACATTTAATCAGTATATCATTAGGATTCTTTATATACAATGTATTTAAATAATTGGCTTGTCTGAACTATAGGCAACAAATTTACAAATTAAAATAAAATAATGTTTCACACAAATATGGAATGTTCGAGAAATATATGAAAATAAAATGCATCTAGTAACAAAACATTGTAAATCAAAAAGGTAAAAGATGTCTTCTCTGTCTTGGAAGATTTCAAGGCACTTTCATGGCAAATCAGAATTCTCTCCTTAGTAGAAAGTCTGCAAGAGAAAAGGACATGCCAGTTTATAACCAGTTTCAAAACAGAGGCAGACTGCTTAGTATATTTTTTGTTTAAAAATCACAGTTTCCCATGGATCGCATAAATTTTAAGACTAACTCCAGAATGCCAGTGGGACTCGCCCTCCTGTGAACACTCATTACTTTTGCCGTGGCAAATCCTCAGCATTGACACTGCGAGGCTTAACACAGAGTGGTCCATGCTGCTGCATCTCACAAGGACGTTCCCCATGCATACGGTCATGGGCGTTTCTAGATCCTGGGTTTCATCGAAGGCTTTACTTCCACTCGCAAGGATCTGA